CAACTTCCTGCCAGCTTCCCCACTGACTTTGGTTGTTGGGAGCTGGCAGGAAGTTGCAAGAAGCTCCTCGCTTAATGACAGCAACAGGACTGCATGGATTGCTGTCACTAAGTGATGCGGTCCTGTGACATCACACTTCACAACCACATTGCTTAGTGACATAAATTCCAGCCCCAACTGCCATTGTAACTAGAGGGCTACCTGTATACTGTGGGCAGTGCTCCAAAAGATGGGTAAATTTGCTAAGATAAATAGACAAATTAAAACAAAGTTACTTGCTTAACACTGGCTTACTCCTCTCTCCTATTGGTTATCCATTTTAATCAAGTATATTTAATTGTTATTATTACCCAGTTCCGTATTTGCTTCCTTGCATGTTCATCAATTACTCAAAATCAAAATAAGCCATAGTAACACCTGCATCTGTCTCTTTCTGTAACAGCAAAGATTGTTCAGCTACAGGATGCAGAGTTCCTTCTGTGATACACTTTCATTCATTTATATAGGGGCTAATTTTAGTATGAGGGGGAGAAATAGTGTTCACCACAAAGTGTTAGAAGCAAACTGTTAAAAGGAAATAAAACTCTCCTATGGAGTTTTCAGTTTCTGTTTTTAGTGATAAGTGAATGTAAAAAGAAAAGCAGGCAGAAGAACAATATTTACCTTAATCTTCTGCTGTAAGTAGAAGTCCACTTAAACTCAGAAAGCAAGGGATTTTAAAGCAGAAATTAGCAGTATTTCAGAGGCTGCAACATGGCTACCTGACCTTCCAGTAGGACCCAGGAAGCAGTGACAATGACATAGGAAAGAATGGCACTAACATCTTTTTACTTGTTTTTTCAGGGTGGGGAGGAGGTAAGGGTGGCAATAAGAGCAGGAGACCTCTAAGAAGCAAACAGCTTCCAACTGCCCTTTTTGAAATTCCCCCCAAAAGAAGACAAACAAAATCTAAACATGCCACTGTTTTTTGTATTTCTGGCACAATTTGGGATCTTTTTCACACTTTTAAGACAATTAGTTTGCTTTCCAGAAGCCCCCTATTCCCATTCCCAATGTTTCCAAATAAAAAATTGCACTACCCCAAATTGGCCATTTTGCTGCCAAATTTAGGCGATGTAATTTCAGGTTGCTGGGATGGGCCACAGGCAACCCACAGGCCATAAGTTGTCCATTCCTATTCTAAAGTCTTTAACTGCTAATAAACCTCAGGGAAAAGAGACCCTCATCAGCTGTGCTGTAGTAGCAACTTGAGAGAGGCCATTAGATGTTCATAGAATAAAATGAGACAACAAAGCATGATATGCAGAGCTCTTTGAAAGACATTATGGAAATATTATTTAATAACACATAAGCAGCTGATATTAAACTAGATTTGGCACAACAGAAGCTTAAAAGCAAGATGTTTTCTCTAGCAGCAAGGGGCTAAAGAGCTCAATCATAACAAGAAAGAATATCAGTAATATTTCTTCAATTTTTGTTTTACAAGCAAAACAAATTCAATTTGGGATCTCAAACGGGTTGGCCCTATTTCTCCTTATTCTAATTAGACTGGTATTTTGGGACTTTTCAGTACCTTTCAATGTATATTACTTAAGTGGCGACAATGTATATTTCTTAAGTGGTTTCGGTATTTGTATGGCTAATAATAGGCCTAGTCATCTCTTGGGAGTTACACTATGGGTTGAAAAGGATTTCATCACCTTCCACGTTATTTTTAACAGGTACATGGAACCTGGAGGTGAAGTCATCAGGAATTTTAGATTCAGATGAAGTAGAAATTTTACATTTTAAATTTATGCTTGAGATAAAGGATGGACTAGATAAATGTTAGTGGATAGGTCACATAGTTAGTATTCAATATGTTCTTGATTGAGGCTGTATTTCTCTGCATAAAGTGAGAGGTATGCAATTTGTGGGTCTTATATATCCAATCTTGTTGGATCCAGACCAGATTATAATGCTGCAACTCCTGAACAGATATAAACTAGTCCCAGTGATCCATGTGTTGGTAATATTTAGGTTAGACTATTATAGAAATTATGCACTTGGAGCTTTATTTAAAAACTGTTTAGAAGTTGTAATTATTACAAAATACAGCAGAAAGTAGAACTGATCTTGGAAACACCCTTGCCTCTTCTAAAATGTTTCTACTGTTTAGCGGTTCATTTAAATGCAATTTACGCCACTGATCTTTAGAGACCTACACAACTGTATACCTGGGATGTGAAAAAGTATGCCATTCCATATTCCCTTATGAGTGCAATAAAAATCTTCATAGGTCCTTTTCTTAGGTATTGCTTCTCTTAGATGGCAAATTGGGCAAAAGCTCCCTACCCTTGCTTGGGGCACCCTATTTATGGACATGTCTCCTCAGGAAGGCTTGCCAGACACCTTTAAGGTCCTTTCAGGTCACAGTGGTTTATTCTTGTACTTTTCAAAGCTCATAACAAAGTTTATTGTCTTTTAACATATTGTATTTATTTTGCAAACTACCCATGTAATTATATATTGAATGATAGCAAATACTAAAAAAGATGGTGAAATAAATGCTGTATAAGATGGATAAGCAAGCTGTTCAAACTATTTATCTGTCAATTTGGAGAACAGCTGGTTCGAACATTGTTCTTGCTTGGTGTTGGAAAAAAGGTATGCATCTTTTGTCTCTGTGCTGAGCTTTCCAAAGTTTTCCTTATATCACAGCTATACAGAAAAGATTGTAATTCCCCTTTTCATTCCATTAGAGGCCAACAGAAGACTGTCCGTGGTAGAGATGGCAAGCAGACCCCTTCAACAACATACTTTAAAATAACTACTGCTGTAACTAAGGCAAACATTAGAACTATTTAATCTCCAAATACTTGAGGGTAATAATCCAGTTAACAATTCTACTTCATTAAAATGAAGTGTTTTACACAAAACATGCTTTTCCACTGGCAGGCTTTATTTTTCTGAAAAAACCCTACAGTGAGTTTGAAGTTTTAATTTAAATGGATGTCAATAGCCAGATTTTCTCAAGTCTGCTCCTTGCTTCTAGTTCAAGAACTGTTTAGTTTCTGGACTCTAGTTCCAAGACTAGTTAAAGCTTGCAGAAGTGTAGCTGAACAATAATCCTTTGCCTGTGAAAACTTCTGATTCTCAAAAAAAGGCTAGTGTGTTCCTGTTCTCGGCTCTATAGCTCTAATGGGAGGAGCAATATAATTAGCCACTAGCTCACAGTATTATAAAAAAGTCACATACGAGTCAAGTCACCACACTTTTCAGGTGAAAAAAATTGAAAAAAAAAATCGCACCCCAGGCAGATAATAGATGCAGTACCAACCTGAGTTGTAGCAGGGCTCTGTATGTGTGCGCGCGTGTTTAATGTATCATAAAGATTAAAGCTGTGCAAAGCAATTCAAATTGTTAAAGCTTTTTGTGTGGCTTGCCATTATGACAATTTCAATCTTGGGTTTTCCTGGTGCCTTCCATCCAAGTGCTAACCAGGCCAACACTAATTAGTTTTTCATGACCAGTCAAGACAAGCCAGGAGTTGCTATGTGCTTTGACACACTTTCCCATTCACACACAAAACATTTTTCATCCATTCAGAAAATTGAACTAACCACTACCATATTTTCTCTTCCCTCTCCATCATGTTCCCTTATATCTTGTGTGTGTGGCTTTTTTTTTTTAATTGCAATTTTAAGGACCGAAAACGTTTAATGACTGATTTTTGAAAACTGCTCTGAAATTTTTTTTTAACAGAAGTACAGGAAAAATGTTCAAAATAAAATGTAAGTAATACATATTGATAATCTTACCTTTTCTTACTATTATTGCTATTCTTGGAACATATTGCAAAATTAATAGGTCATCTTTAAATGCATTAATCAAAGCAGAATGCTCTGTTTTCCACTGATAAATTTATTCTTGCATGCTGCCAGAGTTCTACTGCAAAAGAATAGCAAAATAAAGTATTATTAAACACAAAGTAACCAATTATTTCTAAATATATTTATATTTCATCTTTCTATACATGTGTCCACAGTGGTTTATATATGGGTTATAACAAAAAAGGTTAGGCAAAAGAAAAATGGATAAGAAAAAAAAGTATCAGCAATTTCAATATTGTTTCATTATGTTTAGGTTGAGTATTCACTGAACTTGACAGTTCTTGGCAGAAGCTCAGTCAGGTTTTATGGTACATGGATAGGGCCTTACTGGTTCACTTCTCCTTCTGCCATATAGTTGCTGTGAGTGGAGCAGAAGAGGCAAATGGTGGCTTTTTTAGAGCCAATAATTTTCCAACTGGACATTCTTTCTTTGGGAACTCAATGGCATGATTAAAGGTGGTCTATGTGCTGTGATTCTCGCTTCAAAGTAAAACTTCTCAACTCATTAAGCACGAATTGCAATCATTTAATACTGGCAATTAAAATGAACTCTGTAGTGAAAGTGAAATGTATTTGAAACAATAAAAGCTTATAACTCTTAGAAAATATATTAGTTCTTGAGAAAGCTATTGACTATGAAAGGACAACATGTAAGCCATCAAAAGCTACTAGACTGCAGGGGGATATAAGTACAATACATAAACAAGCATACATACTATTTCCTTAATATTTTATTGTATTGCTAGAGCAGGACACCTCAATTCCTACATGTTAGAGAACAGAAACATACATGCCCTACTATTTAATTTGATCACTACTCACCTTTCATCTGCTTTATCTTCAATATATTCTTTTGGAAAAAACTGAAACCTATGCTATCAATTGAAACATTTTGTCTTACCAGTCTTCTGTGGTTCCTATTTTTCATAATGCTGTGTGTCTGGACAACTAACTAAAAACAGTGTATCTTATTTGGAACAAGAGAGGTTACATTGAAAGGTAATTTTTTATTAAGGATGAAGCTTTTCAATTGCCTTGCCAGATTTGTTAAGTGAATTTTTACTGCATAAATTAGGCTTATCTCATATGCATGAAGCTAAATAAAGTTAGGAAACTGATGGGCCTTACAGAAAGGTTAATTGTAATGTATATAATTAAAAAGAGCTTTGAGCACTACCTTCCATACTAAAATCTCTTGTGTGCTACATGAAACTACTTAACAAGTATGTGTATGCATTTTAAATAACTATTACCAAGCAAGTAAATGTTATATAATTTTTAAGCATTTTTTTGAGAATAGAAATGCCTAACTCAAATCACCCAGTATCACTTTATATAATTGAAGAGGACCTACTGTTATGTACAGATTTTTTAAAATGCAGCACTTTATGTTCTTTGTATATCCTGTAATTTACCTTACACTCTTTTTTTATTCCATTTGGTATTCTTTTCACCACAAATAGCACTTTCTCAGTGATGCTTTGTTCAGTACAGCTAAATCTCTCAGTTCCTGTCATGTTTTCCTGTCTCACATTGCTCTCTTTCTAGAATCTCTTTGCTGGAGATTCAGCATCAGAAATATATGTCTATTGTTCTAGAATTTCATACTGAAACCAAATCGTAGTCCTGAAGTTCAGCAAATAAATAATGGCTTGTTTAGCCAATTCCTAGTGTGTTTTCCCTCCTTTTGTAAACTGCTGTCTTGCAATTCTCTGGATTGGTTAGGTGTCTGGGTGAGGCACAGAAGTCAGTGAAATAAAAGTTAGGAAGCCACAAACAAATAATGCTCCTGAATTCTCACACTATCCTAACCCACAAGTATAAGTAAAGCAATAAACCATGGTTTTAAACAGCAGTTTACTACACTAAAAAAAGTCATGTCAAGTGAAAACAAGTCACATTATGGCTTAGTATTAATGAGACAACCATTCTTCCACCTCCATCTGAATATATCTTTGGTATTTCTACAAAGGGATAAGAAAGAACTCAAAACTGGAATTCTCCTACACGAAGCCCAATGGGCCTGATGATTCACACAGGATTAATTTAGTTGAATTATTAACTCAGCTCCTCAAGCTTGAGCAGTGTCTCTCTTAAGGGACAGTTTCTCCATGTGTTGTGAATGAAGAGCTTTGATAATACTCTAAAGGTCTGTTGTAGGTGTCATCTTGGAAGGAGACCTACTTGGCAATGATCAGGAAAAAGGCATTTTTTGTGGTGGCCCCAGCTTTATGGAATTTTCTTGTTTTAAGAGGTTAAAAACTCATTTGTGTATTCAAACCTTCTACACCTAACAACATGTACTTTTAAGATTACTACTCTAATAATTTTATGATAGTTACAAATTGTTACAATCTATTTTTTTCTATTTTTGGATTACTAAGATGAAAAAAGTATAAAAAGAGAAAGGACAATTGGATAATTAAGTAAACTTGCAATGCTATTCTCAGTATTAAGCAATCTCTTTAACTAAAGATGCTTCAAATTGTCCTCTATTTAACATACATACACTTCTCACTGTGGTTCATTTGAACTTTCTGAAATTATGAGCAATTCAAGGAATGCTTTCAATCTTAAAGTTAACAGATTGTTAGAAAAGAAGGGTACTGGAAATAATGTATTTATTTATTAACAAGATTTATAAGGCCACCCAACTGAAATAGTGTGACTCTAGGCAGTGCACAGCATAAAAAGCAAACAATACCCCACCCAAAACCCAAACCACTTAACATTAAATATCTGTAATATAAATATAAAATATAAAATGGTGACCAAGCAACAGAACAGAACAATCAAAAGGGGACTCTCAGTCAAATGGCCTCTAATGCCTGGTGGAAGAACCAAGTCTTAATGGCTTTCCTAAAGGCAAGCACAGTTGAGGCTTGTCATATATCAGAGAAGATCGTTCCAGAGAACAGGGGCTACCACAGAAAAGGTGCACTTCCTAGGGCCCATAAGATCACAAGATTTCAAAGAATCTTGTCCTCCCCGTGGGAGCATGTGTGGTGGGCAGATGTTCTTGGGAGAAGTAGTAATCTGATTCTATGCCATGTAGGGCTTTAAGGTGATAAGCAGCACCTTGAATTGCATCCAGAAGCCTACTGGAAGCCAATGCAGCTCATGGAGTAACATGTTACATGGGCATAACAAGATACACACACAACTACCTGTACCACTGCTACTAAGCTACTAAAAAACGAATGAAGATAATATCCAATATAACCATAACCATCACAATTAATAGAAAATGTCTGGTATTTCACCTGCTAATCTCATGGAAACCATGAGTCCAAGAGGATCCCCAAAATCAAAGACCTGCTCTTTTAGGTGAAAAGTGATGCCATCTAGTGTCAATGTTAGAATTAACCCAGATCAATCACCAAGAAACAGCTTCTCCATCTTGTGAAGATGTAATCTGAACTTTAAAAAAAACAAAAACATTCAGGCCCTTTAGCTTCTAGGCACTTGCTTGGGATGGAAATGTAAAACTGGATATCATCAGCATCCTAATAGTACTTCAACCCAAACTTATGAATTGCCTCTTCCAGCAACTTTATGTACTATCCGAAAAAGCTCCATGTTTAACATCTTCCTGAATGCAGTCCACAGAGAGACTGCTGAAGAGGACTGGTGTGGCTTTCTGGCTTCAGCTCTTGACAGTGAGGCACTAGCAGCAGTTCTCCCTAGATGATGTGCAGATCAGGCCCATAAGGTTGGACCAAGTGTTCCCATGCTCAGGCCTGAACCCTGCCTGAAAAGAGTCCAGATAACCCTTCATCTAGGTGCTCTATAGTCGATCCACTGTTGCAGCAAACTTCCCCGAAAAGGAAAGGCTGGAGACCAGGTGATGGCTATCAATGCCACTGGATCCAGGGATGGTCTCTTCAGGAGGGGGCCATACAACAACTTCTTTCAAAGTTACTGGCAGAACCACCTCCCATTAAGAGGTGTTGAAAATCTCCAGAACCAAATGGTCATGCTACCCCTAGCCCTGTGAAGGAGACAACTTGAGCACAGGTGAAGCCTGCAGGTGGCAGAAGATAGTCTAGAAAGCATCACATCCACTTTGTGAGAGTTCACAGGCCAAAGGAAGTCCCAGATAAAACAAGATAATGTCCTAGTCACCACCAACAAAGATTTTGTCTTTAATAGAGAAGTGTGGGCCTGAACATAGGCACATACCTGTGCTCAAACAGAATCACTTTTTTGTCTTTTTTCACCCAGTGCTCTAGGTGTCATTTCTGTCACTTCATTTCCCAGATGTCCTCTGTAGGCAAAAGGCCACTGGTTTAATCAGCAGGAAGAGGCAGCTCAGGGGAAATCTTATCTAGTGCTTGACTTGCCTCCTGTGGCTGTGGCTTACCAAGCATTTGGCAAACCTGCCTGCTCAGTATCTGAGGAAGTCACCAAGCACCTCTGGAAGCCAGTTGGAATCATCAGGCACTTGAGATGGACCATTTAAATCAGCCCTTGCCCACAAATCATGGGAGGAAAACTAATTTGAATCAGGATGTGATATTACCAAACCAAAAGGTAAGGAAACTTTCTTCATATCCAAATCACTTAATATCTCTGAGGCAAATACGAGATCTTATGTATGATCACGTACATGTTTTGGGCCATGTAAGTCCACAATTGCCTTACATGCCATAAACTTCTAGGCTTAACCAGATCCAGCCAGCAAGTTCCTTACCTTATTTCTATGGCGCACTTTCACACATAAGCACTCCAATACCTCAGGAGCAGCATCCCTGATCACAGAAAAAGGTCCCTAACTACCAATGTCATTGCCTACCCTGCCATGATGTGGAGACTGAAGGGGCTGAAGCCTGGTGGGGTAAATTTCAAAGAGCAGTGGTGCCTCCCTCACCCAGCCAGATTTTGGCAATACATGCCAGATCTGCCTGTTCATCCAAACTGTGAGCGAATGAGGTTTTATTATAGACAGATCTGGCATTTATCATCAGCACCTTGAGGCCGCTCACCCCAGCAATCCAATAACCTGGCCCCCAGGATGGGCCTACTGGATTAAAAGTAGAGACTGGCATTGGATGACTTTCCTTCTGGAACAACATACCAAACAGTTCCCCCTCCTCCCTCCCACTACTGTACAGAGATATTTAATGTTGTAACGTGTACTAACAAATGGTTAACAAATTTATCTTTTATCAATTACTTACAGACTTTATATAGTATTTTTTCTGATTATGCACTTGTATTGCAGTAGCCACTGGACCTGTAGGTAGGTATATTTGGTATTGCCATATTTATAGACTTGGTGTCAGAGGTACAAATCAGTTAAGTTTATGACCATAATAAAATAAAATTAATCAATCTGTTATGAACTACTGTAGTGAAAACAATGAAAACCAACTTACTTTTGTGACAAATTTGAAAACTGATACACAAGAATGACATAATGTATATATTATTTGGTTTTGAAATGATGTTTCTATTGTTGGGAACCTGTTACTCTTTAAATGCAAGTTCTATTTACCACCCATTCCCAACAGTCTTTCAGATTCAGCAAAAGAAGCTCTCTTCTGTATTTACTTATCAAAACCTATATCACAAACCAATTTTCATCTTTCATTTCTGCCTATTAAAACAATGTGGGGAAATACCAAGATGCACACTGATAGAGAACAATAACATAGGTACTTACAGGCTACTTTTCAGAGTTCTGAACAATCAAATATAAGTTAGTCTGTGTGGTTTACTTTCTATTCCTGTATCTCATAAATATAAATTCAGGCAAAGTCATTATTTTTTTATCTTTAAACAGTTGCATAAACTCAGCATTATTCTAGCTATATTTTTAAAAGTTAAGAGAATAAATGTAAACCCAATAGCTAAGTTACAAAAGTTGGTAATATTAAACTAAAAATAGGAAATACTTGTAGTTCTATTTTCATGGTACTGTAACAATATGTATTTAGAATGTGGACATCAATGACTGAACTAATTGGCACTTTTTAATCCAGTAATAATGTGGAACTTCCATTATCAGATCTGTACTACATAAACTAGGAAAAGGGAACATTAAGAGGAATGAACTATATTTTCTACAGCTAAAGGTCTACAGTAGGCATGCAAATACTTTCCATTTTTATTTGTTTGACTGATTATAATCTGCATTTTTGTTCTGGCAAGCACTCGAGTGCCTAATAATATTTATCTTTATATGACAACTTTATAAAAAGATAAAAATATAAAGATTATCAGTAACACAAATGCTAAAATTGTTCAAACCTAGTGTCTGTTGAAAGAGATGCATCTTTATAGACTTCCTAAAGATGAGGGCCAAATGCAACTCCCAATGGAGTCCCACAGCTGAGGAACAACACAGATGAAAGCCATTTTCTTCCTACCAGACAAACCTCTGACAGTAGGGGCTTCTTCAGTTCTATGGGTCAAATCTATGATTACGGATCCAGGCACTTCCATTCATTTTTTGTCTTTAGCAATACAGGCTATAATAAATCACTTTTAATAGCTTCCAGACCACAGGATAACCTTCTCCCTGTTTAATATTTAATTCATTTAACACTTAAGCACTTACTTTCATTACCAAGTGGAGCATGGTTGGGTTTGCAAAGTGATGTAAGCCAGTTTGTCTTATATCAATCTATTACTGAATAAACCACAATGGCTACATACAGTACAACATACATAAACCTAAGCCTTCATAGTTTTTGAACTACAATTTCAACAAAGTTCTACTTCAGTACACACTAGTTGGGAATTATGGGAGTTAATTTCAGAAACATATGGAGGATACCAGATGTGATGGAGTAGCCTAACTGATTTCTTCAGTGAATGTATATGTAAATGTAAAATCAAATATTATGCTGTTGCAATTGGGGGAGAGGTGCAAGGGGGGAAAGGAATTCTTAACATTACATACATTTTCAACAATTTCAAGTCATCCCTCCCTATGACGCTTTCACTTAACTTCTAGACACTTAGGAAAAAAATGCAGTTGTAGTAGAAAAATGTGCATTTATATTACTTTGTTGAGTAAAGAATTTTATATTACTTTACCTAATATAATATTTACTGCTTAAGTCTGATTTTTTTTTCAATTGTAGCTCTAACAACTTATTTCACACAAATGCCAACAGATGCACCTCAGTTTCTCTCAACCTGGGATGCTTCCAAATAAATACATACATATTTCAAAGACTGAAATTATTTCATATTGTACATGATTTTCTAGCATTATGAGAAAAATATAACTGTAGCAAAGCAATAAAACCATTTTATAAACCAACCATACTACCCTCATAATGATAAAAATGGAATATCAAATGTTCTCAGTGGGGAATACAGCTCTTTGTTCTATCCTGCTCCTCACCAAGGTGGTGTCAGGGATGAGAAGAGAACCAGGACGTTTAATTTTTTTTCTACACACGATTCAGGTGAGGTTTCAACAACCTCACGCCTCTCTTTAATGTACCAACAATAAGCGAAGCTCCGGAGATAAAGCTTCTCCAATGAAGTTGCACACAGTCAATCATCCAATGAAGTTGTCAATCTCGCACTTCGTTATATATAGCTACTAAAACGTTCAACAAAAGCGGTTTCCCCACCAAATCCGACTCCCCACCCCACACACCGAGAGAAGAGAGTTGCAACTGTTTCAGGTTCGCCCCTGCAAAGACAAAAATTAAAACAAGCGCAGAGAGACGTGGGGAAACAACTCCACTCCAGAGAAGAGCGCTGGAGCCGGAGGAAGCGCCCTCCCTTCCGTCCAGGTTCGCTTGGCGGGAGGGGGGGAGGGATGCAGCGGCGCAGGGCAGGCTTGACCCCACCAGCGACCCCACGAACCGGGAGGGGCGGGCGGTGGGACAGACGGCGCGGGCCCCGTCCTCGCCCAGGGCGCGGAGCGGACGACGACGCGGGCCTTTGTTCGGGTCTGCCGCTGCCCGGAAGGACCGGGAAGGGGCGGAGGGAGAAGCGAGAAGCGGCTCTCCGCGAAGGAGGCCGCGGCCGCTCCACAGCGACGGCCGCCTTCGCCAGAGTCCACGCCGTGGGGCTGGACGAGGAGGACCCATCCCCACGCGGAGCCTTCGCCCCCAGGAACGCCGCGGAGGCCCTCCGGCACCCCCTCCCCGCACCCACCT